CACAAATATATTATCCCTTCTATAAATCTACTGCAATTATTATTATTAGTATAATTATTATTAGTGTTATTGTTATTACTATGGTACCTGTATTACAAATGAACTGAATGAGTCAGTGAACGAATCTTTTTCAAGGATCATTTTAATGAACTGATTCTAATGATTTGGTTCACTAAAATGAACTGTTATTCCCATCGCCATCAAATGGTCTTTGTTTTCTAGCTAACGTTTCCAGTCTCACCTCATCCACACTAGAAGACATATTAGCTTTGATCATGACCACAGTTTTTTCAAAACCTATGATCATTCACTAGAGGCGGGTACTGGCTCAGCTCTTCAAACACATCTGTAGCCCCAGAAYTGCCAGGCAATCCTCTTTTCTTTACCACGGAAAGCTATAATCTTATCCATCYTTGTCACTCCCAAGGAGAACTTCAACATCTTCAGCTCTGATACTTCCTGTTTTGTCTCAGTTTGTTTGGCTAAATTCCACAGTTAAATTTTTTGCCAATATCGCCCAACCAGTCTGGCATCCTGTCATATGCTTTATCTAAATCAGGGGTGTCCAAACTTTTTTTAGTGAGGGCCAAATACAGAAAAATAAACAAAGGGCCGGGCCACACACTAGAACTGACATATTGATACATCAATAATGTGTGTATTTCTAACTCACCTATTGGGCAGAAGGTCACTGTGGTTTGTGATTTGTGATTTTTATCCATATTTAGGCATTTTTGCAGAAATATCGCCCGTGAAGGGCTGCACCTGCTTGCAGGTATAAAACCCGGTGCTGAGCTTTCAGGACCGGTTCCACCTGATCAGATCTGTTCCTTTTATTGCCTGAAACATCTAAATCAGGTGGGTGTAGGGGTTTTGGGTATATTCTAAAATGGATAATTTGTGAATTATTTAAAAGAGCAAATTATCTGACCTCGAGGCACCACGCTCTTAATTTGATCAAAGATTAACCCAGGAAAGAGACGAAAACCTGTAACTTTATTGTAATCAGTCTCACAATAAATGTACCCAAAATGGTTTGATGAGTCCTTGTCTTATCAGAACCAATAATACTTTATCAAG